TAGAAGGGCCCAAATATATATCAGATATGCATACACAAAATCAATAGATATTTATTTATAGTACTTTTCTTTTATTGTCGATGAAATGAATTCGTCCAATTCTACACGTAATAGTAATAGTCAACTAATGCTAAAAGGGAAAATTAACGCGTTTATTTTTTAGTACACTGATCAATGATCAATTAACTTAAATATTAAACTATCTATTCCCTTAACTATGCTTATATTGAAATAATAATGATCAATCGTGCTTTGATAGATTACTAAATTAACTAATCTTATATCTTAAAGATTTATATTTCAAATATATATCTGATATATATATATATTATTTTACTTTAAAATATGGTTTTCAATTGTGAAAATTTTCTGACTCTTCTATTCATATGCATATATATAGTGTAATATATATATTTTAAATTGACAAACAAGTTCAGGTCTGCTGATACGTGATTACCATTATCTGAGGTTAGTCTCAATTTTTTGACTGACCAGTATAATTGTCAAGTATGTCACACACTTTGTTTATTACGTACTAATAATGATTTATATTTATAAGCAAAACAAGTAAATAATATAATGAATTTGTAATAAAAAAAATATGAAACTCGAGTTTATTTATAATTTTATAATTGAGTTAAAATTTAGAAATGCTTCGTCCATTAATGCTATGCTAACCTATTTTAACTTAAATTCCATAAATGCTCAATTGTTCAACATTAGCTATAGTCCAGAGAACAGAGTACACGTAGTCTTCTGTTATGTAATAATAATTTCTATGTTATTGTTTAAGGGACTTTATTTTTACACAATTGCATCGAAACTTAATATTGTTCTTGCTTATATTATCATTCGTGCGCATTATTTAGATAAGAACAACATGGGACGTCATTTTAATTGATAAGGTTAACAATATTGTCATCTATAATTCTAAATGAATAATCTAATTAATATGATCAACTTTAAATTTAAATATAAATATGACCAGTTTTCTCTTGATCTCGTTTATGTTGAGCTTATAAGCAATATCAAATACCGGCTCAGATGTCAGTTCAAAGGCCAGTTCAAATGCCGGTTCAAATACCAGCTTTAATAACAACTCAAATGCCGGTTCGAATGCAAGCTCAAATGCAAGCTCAGCAAGTACAAGCTTTGATCGATCAATGTCGAACACCACCGGCTTTGCTAAGGATTTTCTCTTTTAATGTAAATTCATATGCTCTAGCTTTACTGCGAAG